AGAATAGAATAGAATAGAATAGAATAGAATAGAATAGAATAGAATAGAATAGAATAGAATATAGGAATGGAATAGAATAGAATAGAATAGAATAGAATAGAATAGAGAAAGAATAGAATAGAATAGAATAGAATAGAATAGAACAGAACAGAATAGAACAGAATAGAATAGAATAGAATAGAATAGAATAGAATAGAATATAGGAATGGAATAGAATAGAATAGAATAGAATAGAGAAAGAATAGAATAGAATAGAACAGTATAGAATAGAACAGAACAGAATAGAACAGAACAGAATAGAACAGAACAGAATAGAACAGAACAGAATAGAATAGAATAGAATAGAATAGAATAGAATAGAATAGAATAGAATAGAATATAGGAATGGAACAGAACAGAATAGAATAGAATAGAATAGAATAGAATAGAATAGAATAGAATAGAATAGAACAGAGTATGGAATAGAAATAGCATAGCATAGCATAGCATAGCATAGAATAGAATAGAATAGAATAGAATAGGAGCAGGATAAGATAGGATAGGATAGGATAGGATAGGATAGGATAGGATAGGATAGGATAGGATAGCGCAGGGCAGGACAGGACAGGACAGAACAGGAATAGAATAGAACAGTATAGAATAGAACAGTATAGAATAGAATAGAATAGAATAGAATAGAATAGAGCAGGATAGGATAGGATAGGATAGGATAGAGCAGGATAGGATAGGATAGGGCAGGGCAGGGCAGGGCAGGGCAAGACAGGACATGACATGACATGACATGACATGACATGACATGACAGAACAGAACAGAACAGAACAGAACAGAACAGAACAGAATAGAATAGAACAGAGTAGGGAATAGAATAGAATAGAATAGAATAGAATAGAATAGAATAGAATAGAATAGAATAGAATAGAATAGAGAAAAGGAATAGAATAGAATAGAGCTGGAAGGGACCTTGGAGGTCATCTAGTCCAGCCCCCTGCTCAAGCAGGAGAAGCTACAGTATACCATCTCAGACAATTGACTGTCCAGTCTCTTAAGGAAGGGAGGAAGGACGGAAGGGACCTCGGAGGTCTTCTAGTCCAACCCCCTGCTCAAGCAGGAGACCCTATGCCATTCCAAACAACTGGCTGTCCATTCTCTTCTTAAAAACCTCCAGTGATGGAGACCCACAACTTCTGAAGGCAACTTCTATTCCACTGGTTAATTGTCTTCACTGTTAGGAAGTTTCACCTTAATTTCAGGTTGCTTCTCTCCTTGATCACTTTCCATCCGATAAGGTGACCCCCTCTTCCTTGTGACAGCCTCTCAAATACCGGAAGGTGTATAGTCACCCCTGTTCGACTATACAGAAGCATGATACAAAAAAGGCATTGAGACCCCAGGGTGAGTGCAGAGAAGAGCAACAAAGAGGATCAGGGGACTGGAGGCTAAAGCATACAAGGAATGGTTGCTGGAATTGGGTCTGTCTAGTTTAACGAAGAGAAGGACGAGGGGGGACATGATAGCAGTCTTCCAGTATCTCAGGGGCTGCCCCAAAGAAGAGGGAGTCAAGCTATTCTCCAAAGCGCCCGAAGGCAGGACAAGAAGCAACGGATGGAAACTAACCAAAGAGAGAAGCAACCTGGAATTAAGGAGAAACTTCCTGACTGTGAGAACAGTTAACCAGTGGAACAGCTTGCCACCAGAAGTTGTGGGTGAGCTGCATGTCAAGCTGCACACACAGTAAAACAGTAAGGACAGAACAGTAATGCTGCTTTCTGTTTTGCTTTCCTTAGGCAGAAGGGTGCAGGGGTGCCCTTATGTTTTACCTTTAGTGTTCATCTCATCCGAGATCTTACAGGAGAGCTTTAGATTCATTTTGGACTTTCTTTCTTCCTTTCTTCCTTTCTTTCTCTTTCAAGTTATCTTTCTTTCTTGTTGTTCTCTTCCTTCCTTCCTTCCTTCCTTCCTTCCTTCCTTCCTTCCTTCCTTCCTTCCTTCCTTTCTTTCTTTCTTTCTTTCTTTCTTTCATCTATAAAATGTATAGTACCCCCCCCCCATCTTACCTCAAGGTAACTCTGGGAAGTTTACCATCATAAAAATAAATAAATAAAATAAAATAAAAACTACGTAAACTAAAAACATCAATAAAATAGTACAAAATCCAAAAGCTCCTGCCCAATTTAAAAAAAAAAAACCCAGAGGACTTCACCTCTATGCTTTCTGGGACGGTCCCTGTGCCTTTGACACCTGCACGGCAGGCTGAAATCCAACTGGTAACGTTTCCTTTTGCTTTTCCTTTCGCACGCACCTGGGAAAGCGCACCCAGCATCTGGCTGTTCCTTTGCCAGCAAGCCCACCTGAGAATCCAGCTTCAGGGGGGGGGGGGGTGTCAGACGCCTACACAAACACACACTCCAGGTGTTCCTGGGGGCCTTACCTCCAGGGAGTCATCGGCGTTGACCATCCAGCAATCCGTCCAGGTGGCCACAATGAGAAACCCCAGAGAGAAGAAGGCGAAGAAGCAGCCCAGGTACTGGAGCACAGGCCTCATGTTCGCTGCGAGGGAGACCTGGCTGACCCCTTCGCTGGCCTGGCTGTAGGGCAGAGCCTCCCTCCGCCTCCCTGCGGACGGCCAATGACCCCCACGGTCCAGTGCCTGGGAGGAAGAGGAGGAGGGCTGTGGCAGGGGTGCTGGGCAGCCAGGAGGAGGGCAGGCCCAGGCATGCGCCTGCATTAAAGCCCTCCTTAATTGCCCCAGGTTTTGCTGAGCCTCAGGTGGACTCACCTGGACCCAGGGTTTTGCTGGAGAAGGGCTGGCAACTTCCAGGAAAGGTTTTGGACATGCTGGCACGGGCAGGTCAACTGTAGCAGATGCCTCCAAGCCATTGGCCAAGCTCGGGCAGTGCCAATCTTAACAGAATAAAACAGAATAACAGAAAAGTTTGGAAGGGACCTCGGGGGTCTTCTAGTTCAGCTCCCTGCTCAAGCAGGTGACCCGAGACCATTCCAGACACGTCATGGATGCTCCATCACTGGAGGTTGTTAGGAAGAGAATAGGCAGTCACTTATCTGAGATGGTAGGTTCTCCCGCTTGAGCAGGGGGCTGGACTAGAAGACCTCCGAGGTCCCTTCCAGATTCTATTCTATTCTATTCTATCCTATTCTATTCTATTCTATTCTATATTCTGTTCCATATTCTATTCTATTCTATATTCTATTCTATATCCTATTGCTTATTCTATATCCTATTGCTTATTCTATTCTATTCTATATCCTATTGCTTATTCTATTCTATTCTATATCCTATTGCTTATTCTATTCTATTCTATATCCTATTGCTTATTCTATATCCTATTGCTTATTCTATTCTATTCTATATCCTATTGCTTATTCTATATCCTATTGCTTATTCTATTCTATTCTATATCCTATTGCTTATTCTATATCCTATTGCTTATTCTATTCTATTCTATTCTATATCCTATTGCTTATTCTATATCCTATTGCTTATTCTATTCTACTCTACTCTACTCTACTCTACTCTTTCTCAATAAAGATTCTATTCTATTCTATTCTATTCTATTCTATTCTATTCTATTCTATTCTATTCTATTCTATTCTATTCCATTCCATTCCATTCCATTCCATTCCATTCCATTCCTTTTCTCTATTCTATTCTATTCTATTCTATTCTGTTCTGTTCTGTTCTGTTCTGTTCTGTTCTGTTCTGTTCTATACTCTCTAGTCTCTTCTTAAAAACCTCCAGTGATGGAGCACCCACAACGTCTGGAGGCAACTTCTGTTCCACTGGTTAATTGTCCTCCCTGTCAGGAAGTTCCTCCTTCATTCCAGGTCGAATCTCTCCTTGATTCGTTTCCATCTGTTGCTTCTTAAAGGGCCATTTGGGACGCAGCGGGCATGAAGTCACCAGGTCAGGGGTAGGCCACCTTGGCTCTTTTAGGACTCGTGGACTTCAACTCCCAGAATTCCTGAGCCAGCTTGGCTGGCTCAGGAATTCTGGGAGTTGAAGTCCACGAGTCCTAAAAGAGCCAAGGTTGCCTACCCCTGCACCAGGTCCATGTTGTGATGGATGCCTCCTGACCCCCCTGCGGACACCTCCCTGGCCTGCATTCTGCGTTTTCTCCAGCAGGCGGCGCTGGGCTCATTCCTCCTGCCCAGGACGGCTGTTGGTGAGGCAGAGACGGAGAGAGGGATGGAAAAACACTATAAACAAATATTTTAATTAGCAGGAGTGATGTTTAGCAAGCATTACCTAATATTATAAACTGGCTGTGTGTGACGACCTGGGTGCACTTCTATGAAGAAACCTTTTTACAAGAAATGTTAACTGAAGGTCTCGGATGGTGTAAGATATTACCCGTGTAGAGCAGTGTGGTTTTCTGTCAATTGTCTCAACTTCCCTTTTTCCTATGCGCGAGGTCTCAAGACATGAACTTCCCTCTTTTGGTGTGTTAAAGGTAGATAGGAAGTCCTCCATTGGGTTAGGCGTGGGTGGCAAGCTGTATAAGAATGACACGCTGGGAATAGCCCAGTGTTCAGAATTTATAATAATAATAATAATAATAATAATAATAATAATAAAGTTGGAAGGGAGTCCAACCCCCTGCCCAGGCAGGAACCCTACACCATTTCAGACAAACGGCTGTCCAGTCTCTTCTTAAAAACTTCCAGTGTTGGAGCATTCACCGCTTCTGGAGGCAGGTGGTTCCACTGGTGAATTGTTCTCACTGTCAGGAAGTTTCTCCTTAGTTCCAGGTTGCTTCTCTCCTTGATCAGTTTCCACCTGTTGCTTCTCGTCCTGCCTTCAGGCGCTTTGGAGAACAGCTTGACTCCCTCTTCTTTGGGGCAGATACTGGAAGGCTGCTATCATGTCCCCCCTGGTCCTTCTCTTCCTTAAACTAGACATACCCAATTCCAGCAACTGTTCCTTATATGTTTTAGCCTCCAGTCCCCTAATCATTTTTGTTGCTCTTCTCTGTACTCTTTCTAGAGTCTCAACATCTTTTTTACTCTCAGCATCTTTTTTACTGTCATATGAATGCTCTGAACCTTTGCGCAAATAAACCTGTGTTCTCCAACCCTTCGTGGTCTTGTCTTCTGATGTAAGTATCGTGGTTTTTCCACCACATTGGAACTGGGGAACAACAGCTGGATGTGAAATTTGGAGAAGGGTCCGAGCCCCACTTTGCCTCCCTGCNCATCTTTTTTACTCTCAGCATCTTTTTTACTGTCATATGAATGCTCTGAACCTTTGCGCAAATAAACCTGTGTTCTCCAACCCTTCGTGGTCTTGTCTTCTGATGTAAGTATCGTGGTTTTTCCACCACATTGGAACTGGGGAACAACAGCTGGATGTGAAATTTGGAGAAGGGTCCGAGCCCCACTTTGCCTCCCTGCCATTTAGCAAACTTTTTGCAATTCCCTTTTAAAAAAAATGATCTCCCTCGTTTCTTTATTAGGGACCCACATTTCTCCCCTTGGCTGAGATTAAACAATGGATGATTACATGTGGTTCGATGGGAGACCACAGGGAGATCTCAGAGTTACAGGCTAGACAGAGAAGGGATGTTGGGCGGGGGGGAAATCCTCGGAATAAGATATTCCACCTTTATTACAGCAAATACTCTGCAGGGAGGCGTCTATAATATCTCCTGGAGCTGTGATTGAAGGACTTTATACATTTTTACTCGTCTTTCCTCTATGAACTCTTTATTATTATTTATATTTATTAAGAATTTTACATGCAGTAAAAGCCAAATTAAAGCACAAATAGAAGAGAAAGAAACAGAAAAAAGAAAGAGGGAAAGAGAAAGAAAGAAAGGAAGGAAGGAAGGAAGAAAGAAAGAAAGAAAGAAAGAAAGAAAGAAAGAAAGAAAGAAAGAAAGAAAGAAAGAAAGAAAGAAAGAATATGATCGGGAGAGAGGATGACTGGATGGATAGATGGGCAACATATAAGATAGATAGATAGATAGATAGATAGATAGATAGATAGATAGATAGATAGATAGATAGATAGATAGATAGATGAAAGAAAGAAAGAACGAGAAAGAAAACGTGAAAGAAAAAAGAAAGAGGAAGGAAGGAAAGAAGGAAAGGGAAAATGAAGGAGGCAGGGAGAAAGAAAGAAAGAAATAGAAAGAGAAAGAAGAAAGGAAGGAAGGAAAGAAGGAAGGGGAAAATGAAGAAGGCAGGGAGAAAAAAAGAAAAAGAAAGAAAGAGAGAGAAAGAACTTGAAAGAGAAAGAAGAAAGGAAGGAAGGAAAGAAGGAAAGGGAAAATGAAGGAGGCAGGAAGAAAGACAAAAAGAAAGAAAGAAAGAAAGAAAGAGAAAGAACTTGAAAGAGAGAAAGAAGAAAGAAGGAAGGAAGGAAGGAAGGAAGGAAGGAAGGGGAAAATGAAGGAGGCAGGGAGAAAAAAAGAAAAAGAAAGAAAGAAAGAGAGAGAGAAAGAACTTGAAAGAGAGAAAGAAGAAAGGAAGGAAGGAAAGAAGGAAAGGGAAAATGAAGGAGGCAGGAAGAAAGACAAAAAGAAAAAGAAAGAAAGAAAGAAAGAACTTGAAAGAGAGAAAGAAGAAAGAAGAAAGGAAGGAAGGAAGGAAAGAAGGAAGGGGAAAATGAAAGAGACAGGGAGAAAAAGAAAGGAAGAAAGAAAGAAAGAAAAAGAAAGAAAGAAAGAAAGAAAGAAAGAAAGAAAGAAAGAAAGAAAGAAAGAAAGAAAGAAAGAAA